AAAAAAAAAAATCACACTTTGCAATATGTAAAACACGCTTGAAGTATTATATTAGATTTGATATGCTCTTTGGGTCGAAATCGCAACTGCAACAAAGCATATAAGTAGTCAACTCATTCCGAGGATGCAGTTTAACTCCATCTAATATGAATTTTAGCATGTTAACAAATCAGTTACTTAGTCTGATAGTAACTAATAGCACCAATCTAAGGAGAGATTCATAAATCTTTTTACTGCAAGTTAAACCAAAACTAAATCATACAAACGATCAGCCTCTTTGGAAGCCGATACTTTCACTTTTTAATCTTGATTATTGCTGTTTCAAGCCGACAATAGGATGATACTCTGTATGATCAAGAAAAATTCCTACCAATGAGACTAACACTATATATTTTCACTTATATTTTCAGACTAACACTATACAATATGAAAATCCCATGAAAATATAGCTCCACCAGCAGAATTTACAGACTTTTGACCTACAAAATCGAATACAATATAGCTCGACCAACACAATATTTCAACATAAAACGATTGATTTAGATCTATCGACAAACTCAATGCATCGATTGGATTATAATAAGAACAACATAGACCAAATCAAATCATAAAATCATATCTACAGAACGTACGATTTTTTTGGTCTTTGGGGGATTACCTGAATAGAGGCACCTGAAGGATGATGAGCAAGAAATATATGCGACAACAGTATTTAGATAGGTTAGCCCACTTTCCCTTCGCTTGAAGTTTCGTCGGAATCTTTGCCATTACAGCTTGCGCCATAGCCGGGAGGATCGAAAGAGGAGGAGAGGGAAGGAGACCGTGTATTTAGGCAGGCCATGTTAAACCGAAAAACTCAAACTCAAACCCATTTTGCAGTAATTATCTCTAACCGAAAAATTCATTCTCAAACTTAAAAGAATATTCACATAATATTCTCCTTTACATCAACTTTTATAACTTTTCAATACTACTGACATATTTCATAACTTTACAAATTAAACCACAATATTATTTTAAATTCAAATTGGACTTTACGTAATTAAAATTAATTATACATAATAAAATCGTAGAAATAAATATTCATTAAAAATTAAAATTTCACCACACAAATAAAATTAAAAATTACAATTCACAAGATGAAAAATTAAAAATTACTCATATATTTTACAAATTTACGAATTAGACTTCCATATTATTTTATATTTAGTTGTTAAAACATGTATTCAAATTAATTATATATTGATACTTCATATACAATAAAAATACTGAAAAATAGATATTTATTAAATATAAAAAAAATATATTCATTTTATGTTTATGATGTATTTTATTTATTGTGGTAATATATTAAAATTTTCAAATAATTTATACTTAGATATTATTATTTTTTAAATCTATGTTCACTGGTAGTATTATCTGTGTGTCTAAAAATTTAAACAAAGTATTTTACTAGTAACGGGATTTCTTATGTTCCTTAATTTAATTTTATGTTAATAAATCATTAAGATTAAAATTATATACAAAATCAAAATATATAAGCTATATGCTCTTTTGTTAAGGGGTCACTTTGCAATTTTTAAAAATAAATGCGTTTGCGAACAGTGATAAGCAAATATGCGTCCAGAAGAGAGAGAAATGAAGCACAAACGCATTTTGCGTCTCTATTTTGGTATCGGTTGGAGCATTTTATGCGTTTGGATATGAGTTTGAGCATCGGTTGGACTTGGTCTTATGGGCGTATGGTATAAGACTATATTTATCCACGACCCTTACCCTAACCCAACCCAACACAATCGAGTAGTTAAAAATTATTTTCCTCTCTCCCACCTACATAACTCAACCGAGTAATTAAAAATTACATATCTTTATCCCCAACCCAACCCAACCCAACCCAACCCAACCCAACACAACATAATATTTATTTTATTTTTATTTATTTATTTATTAAATATATCCACAATAAATTTTTTGGTATTGTTTTAGTTGTGATAAATTAATTAAAAAACTTATAATAAAATTGTAATGATTTCTAAAAATTAATATTTACGGAAACTGGTAATTGAGTAAGATTCGGAGAAAATGGCTCTTCCAAATAATTTTCGAAATTCTGAAAATTTTCAGAGTTTGAAAAATTTGGAGAATTGAGGTAATACTCAATATTTGGATCCATATGGTATTTGTTGGAAATTAAGAAAAATAAAAGAGATGATAAAATTAATAAGATATGATTAAAAAATGGTGAAAAAAGAGAAATTTTAATTGTATTCCAAAATATATCAAGAGTGGTGTCTATTTATAGAAAACGAAAAATACGAATTTTGATATTTTTTATTTTTTATTTTAATATATAATAATATCAATTATTTGAGTTATTATTATCTTGTCATTTAAGTTTTATATTCACCAATGGCAATGGGACAAGTGTCCCATTCCCTCATCCCTTTATGCAAGAAATTTTTTAAAATAAAATAAAAAAAATAAAAAATTTGAGAAACCTGCGGCAACCCAAGGTCACTGTGTGACCTGGGTCGCCCAAAATTTGTAAACTTCTTTTTTTTTTTATTTATTTATTGATTTATTTTTTTTAGCTGGTGACACAATAGGTTGGATCACCAATAAGGATAGTCTAAGAGTTATGACTTAACTGGCCAATTGAATCATTTTATATCCAATAACTCGAGAGTGATTTCCCCTGCGAAATATGATATATAGTTTAACTTGTACAATGCTCGTGTATTACATGGGTGCATGCTAAATTTTTTTCGTAACAGTTAAAATTAATTTAGAAAAAATAGTTGAAAATTTAAATACTTTTTATTAAAAAAATATATTATTATATATTTTAGTATGACACTTGTTACTTGTGCGACTTAACTGTGTTATATTATAATAATTTTTCTAACTGATAATGAATAACTACATTAAATATAAATATATTAATTGAGAAAAAATTTTATTTTTCTAATTAATTTTAATAAATCTTTTTTATTATTACAAAGATAAATATAATTTATTTATTTTATATATACAATACGGATATCAAATCAAAATTCATTAAAAGATGATTAATTTGATATATTTTATATGTAAAACTGATAAAAAAATAAAAGTTATTAACTTTTAAAATACATTTACAATTCAATAGTTATAACAGGAAATGATATTAAAATACAATTAATACATTAAAATGATCATAAATAAATCAGCATATTTATGATAATCCTTTTTTTAATTGAAATTAAATTAAAATCTATCCAATCTAAATAATAAAGCATAGAATTTTGACACATAGGATCCCGAAGCATGCGAGTCTATCACTTAGGTTCAACACATTCGGGAACTATATAGGGGATATGGTTTTAAAAATTTATTTTTTCTTTTACATTTTTTATAGTCTATTTAATTTTTTGCATTTGATTTTAATTAATCAAACAAAAAAAGTATATCACCTAATGAATTGTGTCAAACAAATTAAAATTTTCAAATAATGATAAAAGTGCATGAAAATTTTGATTTACAAACCTTCATTATATAAGTTAATCATGTTGTTCGAAACCTTTTTAGTTTGAGAAAGATTGAAAAATATGAACAGTAAAACTAGATTAAAATATTTTACAAGAATAATCACATTGATAGTTCACAATTTTGTCTTCTTATGTATTACTATATAATAAGAAAAATGATATAATTGATTTAGTAATGATAAAATGCGTTAAAACTTTGACCCTATTTTTATTTTTCTTCTCTATGAATTCTTCTTTTAACCATTTGTGTTATTGCATTGAATTTTTATGTACTTTTGAAACACTTTGACTGATGGCAGATGCCTAGAGAAGAGATAGACAATGCATCAATGATTAGAGAACAGTCCAAGCAACGACTTTCAATCTTCGATTATCTTTATTTTTCTTATTTGACTTCACTTACTCATGGGAGATTTGTCTTTGGTATTTCAGTAATGGGATACTTATGAATGTGTTGAGAATATTGTGCTAGTTGTTTGCTTCTGATTATTTTTAGATGTTGTTTTTGACATGTTTCTACAAGATGTAAGAACTTAAATTTCTCGTTGTTTGAGTGTTTTGTCTATTCTGATAGGGGGAGATAAGTTGGATAGTTCTGATAATTACTAGGGGTTTTCTACTTGATTTTTATTCTGATACTCAAGTTCTGATATTTTGATGTATTTTGATTACTCTGATTCTAGTTCTCTTAGTTGTTTTAATAAGAACTGTTCCAATGCTCTTATATTTTAGGTGTTTGAGTAGTTCACTTCCTAATGTACGAACATAGAGATTTATCTCGTTGTTTTGAATTTGTTTTGTAGACTATCTTCAAGGAACACATTTTTTTTTTTTAATCCAATGTCAAATGGTAAGATTGTAAAATATTGGTTTGACATCTCAACACACCTAAGTGTTTTGCAAAAGATATTCTTGGTAGACAAGTAAAATTAAATAAAGGAAAGCCTTCTATTTATTTACTTGTGAAATAATTAATTTCATCAGATCTATTATCAACAATATATGGTGTACATTTATTACAATATGTATTATGAAGTCCTAATCCTTTAGGAGAAGGATTATATAATATTATATATATTCACTTATCATATATGTCACCATTACTGAGTTTGATTCTATACCATAATTAGTTTTTCGTCTCTTGTAGGACAATGAATAAGTGGCAGTGACTATAAATGATGAGTTACCTATACATGGAGTATCCTGGACGTTTTGGGGAAGATCTAATGATGATTTAGAAAGATTCATCGCAAGATTATCTTAGATTTGAAAGATTTTTTCTTTTAGGAAAGTGCTTTCCTACACGATTTTGGAATTGAAATTCTGAAGAACTCCAAATCGCACACATGGATTCCACTTGAAAGAAACTTACTCTAAACAAAGGATGTTGAAGATCGTGTCAATTCAAGGTGTCACTACCTAGTTAGAATTTGTCTTTTGTCTATATATATTAGATCACGAAATCTACAGAGAAGAGCTGAGTTTATTGTTCTCTCATTAACCTATTGATTTAGTCTATTATATGAGGGTTCGTGAGTTTTTTTTATTATTATATTTTATAGTTTGGAAATTCAGAGTTTCAGAGCATGTTTGTTTATGAAAATTCTGGTTTGTTTGGATTTTTTAGTTTGGTTTGGTTTGGTTTGGTTAATTTTAAAAAGTTGGTATGTTTAGTTGTTAGTAGGTATATTAAAATAATATTTAAAATAAAATAATTAAAATTGATTTGATATAAAAGTATGAGAGAGATGATTTGAAGTGATGGTCAGTTAAAATAATATAAGTAGATGAATAGTGAACAAAGTTAATGTGATTTGTATGAATGACTGATTGATATTATTATATTGATAATATTGATGATAGTGAGGTTGAGTTAAAATTGGGTTAAACTGTTAGATTTTTTTTTTTTTTT